TAGAGTCTCTAAAAGTACAATGGGAGCCAGAGCCTTTTCTTATCAAGCTCCACATTTGTGGAATCAGCTTCCAGTTTGTGTTCGGGCAGCAGACACCCTATCCGTTTTTAAGAGTGCGCTTAAGACCTTCCTTTTTGATAAAGCTTATAGTTAGGGCTGATTAGATTCAGCCCCTAGTTTTGCTGATATAGGCTTAGTTTGTCGGGGGACATCTTACTTCTTCCTTCTCTCTGTCTATACTTGTGTACTCTCATGTTCCGACTTTTTGGTGTCTGTATACGCCGGGATCCGGAGTCATGGATGATCCTGCGCTCCTCTGTCCTGGATCTTGAGTCGTGGCTGTGGTCCTGGATCATAGGTCCTGGATGGATATCCTCGTGGATTCATCTTCCTATTATACACACATGCATTTCCAAACATTTGGACTACCTATGTTGCAAATGTATTATCTTTTCAATTTACAAACGGCATCTATTGCACGTCTGTCCGTCCTGGGAGAGGGATCCCTCCTCTGTTGCTCTCCCTGAGGTTTCTCCCATTTTTCCCTTTAAACTGTGGGTTTTCTTCGGAAGTTTTTCCTTGTACGATGTGAGGGTCTAAGGACAGAGGGTGTCGTATTGTCATACTGATATTTTGTACAAACTGTAAAGTCCACTGAGACAAATGTAACATTTGTGATATTGGGCTATATAAATAAACATTGATTGATTGATTGATTGATTGATGCCCTGTATGTCCAGGATGCCCTGTATGTCCAGGATGCCCCGTATGTCCGGGACGCCCTGTACGTCCGGGATGCCCCGTACGTCCGGGAAGCCCCGTATGTCCGGGTCGTTAACCTCCGGTCCGTATAATGTGTCCCTGGTAAAGTCAGGTTGCCCCGCACGTTCCGGGCGCCCCGCACATCGGGTCGCTCGGTGCGTCCGGGATGCCCCGTACGTCCGGGATGCCCTGTATGTCCAGGATGCCCTGTATGTCCAGGATGCCCCGTACGTCCGGGACGCCCCGTACGTCCAGGATGCCCCGTCCGGGAAGCCCTGTATGTCCAGGAAGGATGCCCGGGAGGCATCAGATGTTTAAATTCTCACATGTATTAACCTCTCATTTCCATCCATAGATTTCCACTGCATCCCACAAGGTAAGATTCTTCACGTTCAGTACTTCATACTTCATTCTTTTGGGGGTTCATCGGAAACGGTTCTTCCCTTCCTGATTGATATCCTACAAAACCTGGGCCTAATCGCCAAAACACCATTTCATTCACTTGTTATAAACTGTCATCATTATGTTTCATTTATATAATGTGACCGATAATAAATATGTATTCCATACATCACGTCTCTCCCGATTGAACTAATGTTGCTCGTATTTAACACAGAAAACCAACTTTAGTTGTGTTGTATAACGTTTTTTCTTTTTACTTTCCCTTTTTCATAGAGAGAACAGACTGGAAAGTGGGAGGGAAAGAGTTTAACGACCACAGCTCGGAATCAAATCACGGTCAGATGCAATAAGACTCAAACATTTCATTGTGTTGGTTATTCTGTACACACTGTCCTATTCCTATACATCCGTCCAGTGAGAGGGATCCCTCCCCAGCTGCTCTACCTGAGGTTTTGACTATTTTATCCCAGTTCAAATGTTTTGGGGGAAACCTTTTTTCTAATAGGATAAAAGACGATGTATATGCTGCGCAGAGTGTAAAGCCCATGAGTGAAATGTGTCATATTGCTGGTTCTAAATAAGTCAAATTGACTTGAAACAGGGTCAGCAATATATTCCCCTGATGAAGCTACACTATCTAATGTACAGAGAGTCTGCACACTTAGTGCTGACAATATTTAAAAATATTACGTGCAGAAATAAAGGACCGTAACACAGGGGGGGGAGTCAAACGTCAGAGGTAGCACTCTCAACAGACTCATTTTTAAAACCCAAAATCCCAAATCTTTCTCTGAGGACTTAAATTGAGTAATAAAAACAGAGATGTAGCACCTTCTGCAAGCTGTTGATATGATACACAAAATAAAGATATATTTTCAACTTTAGCTACATTTCTTGTTGAAGATGACAGACTGTATAACTGATCCTATCTGTTAGAGAAATAAAAATCACATGTCATGGTGGTGTTGTTGAAGTCACTGCATAATGGGAAGTCATACCAATACTGGGCACTTTCTACTAGCATTCTCAGAAATTAATTTGGGGGAATTTGACAATCATTGTGTGATCATTTAGAATTCGTAATGTCACAAAAGTCCCATAATATCAATACACACACAACAAGTTATAAATTATACTACAAATGCAGACTCCTTTAAATCAGCCTCAGGGGAACAGACAAACAATCATCTTTCAAAAACACAAATCTAAGTGTTATTGGACTCCAGCAGCCTTCCTCTAATGCCAACAATGAGCTTCAAAACCCTGAAAAGGAAAAAAAATCTGAGCCATTGAAATGTGGCTGCCAACTGACACTGTAAATTGCTTCACTTCCTCACAGAAAGCCCAACGTTTACTTATCTGACAGAACGCATCGTACAAGTCATCTGCTGAAATATCATTTATCCAATAAGTGAAGCTGAACATCTATAGGTGAGGTCTGCAAAAAGTGCTCTCTTGAATTCATCTGTGATTTGCAGGTTCAACATCCATACCAATTTAAACTATTCAATTTGATGTGAAAGCGAGTGTACAGTACATTGTGGTAAGGACCTCAAAATTGATCTTTCAAGGTTGAGACACTGAGGAAACCAGAGGCTCAATATGAGCTTTTATTGTGTGTACAAGAAGCATTAGCATCATTTAAGTAGCCTATGTCATATTATCATTTTTATGGCACATTTTTCAAAAAAAGAGTATAATGCAGCAGTTAATACTAAAATATGATAAAGCTAGAATATACTACATGTAAACGCAGACTAAAAACTCATCTCTTTCGACTCCACTTCGAGCAATACAATTACTAACAAAGCAATGATATACTAATAAAGGACTGGCTTATCTAAAGCCAGTTGAGTAGCACTTGAAATATTTTGGCTCTATGAAACCTGATATACTTATATGATTCTGTTTTCTTCTAGTTTGTATCTTCTTGGTCGAATGCACTTATTGTTAGTCGCTTTGGATAAAAGCGTCAGCTAAATGCAATGTAATGTATAAGGATAATTTGGTATTTAGTAGTTAGGGTTTAGGGTCAGCCTTACTGTAGTTTTGTAGGTTGTTAATATTACTGTATAAAACATACACATTTTCAAATCAAGACAATGTTTAAGTATACATATATTCTAAGTACTATCTGCTTGGTGTCTGTTTGTCCCTAGTGTGTCTTCCAGGAGTGTCTCCATTGGATTGTGTATGAAGATCATCTGCCTCTTGTGTTTTCTTTCACTTAACCCTCATGCTGTGGAAGTAGCAGCTGATCTAACTTAGTTGGGTCATGATTGTCCTCACCTTGTTGGTAAAAGGTTTTCAAGAAGTTCAGTCTGATTGTTAGGATCAGCTAGACCAGGGGTCTCAAACTCAAGGCCCGGGGGCCAAATCCGGCCCGCGACTTCATTTGCAAAGAATATAATAAGTTTATTATATCGGTTACATGCCACTTTACAGAAGCAGGTTGCCCATAAGCTACATGTCCCACAATGCATCTCGTTTTGTGACATGCGCACTGAAGAGACCTGGACTTCTGCTTTCAGACGTAGTTAATTACTAAGTTATTATCCTATCCGATAATAATCCAATTCAGAGGCAATAATGTAATATAATACATTATTTTATATTTATATTATATATTTATATCGTTACAACCGGCCCTTTGAGTGCAACCTTTATGCGAATGTGGCCCGTGATGAAATTGAGTTTGACACCCCTGAGCTAGACAGTCTTCCTTTCCCTGGTGTACACTGCTGAACCTGGATGCCTTTCAAAACTGAGACACACAAGTAACTAACTCTACATCAAGTCTTATAAACACTTCACTTGTTTATGCAGGTTGGATACTATCAACATTAATCCCAGTCCTACGAAGATATGAATACGTGTTTAATCCTGTAAGAGCTAAGATCCTCTGATGGGTACCTTCTAAAAAAATGTGGGTGACTCAGGAAGACATCAGGCGAGCGACACCCTGTCCTCTTTTAAATATCCAGCAATTTAAAAGAAATGCATACATTTGAATTTAATTAAGTCATTGCTGGGCTAATAAAAAAGTATATTGTTTTGTTATTTTAATATCTTATTGTATACTCTATTTTTGTTTATTCCTACATGAATGGTTTTATATAATTATGTTATTTTAGTGTTATTGTATTGGATTATTTTGTATTCTGTTTTGAAGCACTTTGTTATTATGTATGGGTAGGTGCTATACCAATAAAATGTGTTTTTATTATTTTCATTATTAGTATTGTTGGACTGTAGCCTATTGTACTTTTACATTGCTCTCTTTTAAGGTTAGTTATATATATCATTAAACATCTTAAATAATTAAATAACCATGTACTGGATGACAAAGCCCAGCTGCATACCTGTGGCCTGATATGGTATTTACTAAATGTTATGTTTAATAACATTATATGAACTGTATTTGTAATGAATATTAATATATAACCAGTTCCAGTGTTAATGCCAAACATAAAAAAGAGGTAAGGCTTTAACAGAAAACAATGAATCCTATTCAGTTTATAGGCGCAGGGTGAAGGAGTTGATAAAGATGGTTGTTCCTTCGATCATTGCATAAGCAAAAACAATGATTAGCAGAACTCTCTTTAGCTGGTTAAAGTTTAAATAAATCCTGAGATAATCCCTATAAAGGATCGCATGACTGTAACATAATATAAATCCGACAAATATTCTTCAAGTTTTTTTTAACTAAACATGACATAGACTACCTCCTTTATTACGCAACATTGTTACTATTGACAAGGCCTTCTCAGCTGCAGGCCGTATACATTTACCAGAATAATATTCCTACGAAAAAAACAAACAACAAGGACACTTACCTTCAGTTAAATATTGATTTCAAAACATTAAAAAGGGCTGTGGTCCGTTTCCTCTTCGTCCTCCGCTGTCTCATAAGTATTCCGCTGGATCGAACACCCTACTGAACATTTCCTGCCTCCATCTCTCACTTTAATGCTCACATTTGTCCATTAAAAGCTGCACAGTTGCTATCTTTTTAACCGAGGGCAAATTAACTTAGAGTGCCGAGCATTTGAGCACACCGAAAACTTCTACCAACGTATAAGTCTTACTTCCCTGTTACACACGACCAGAGGCGAGCTTTATTTCCTGCCCGTGCACGTTCAAGTTCACACAAAACCAAATGATGTCTGCCATTCAAACATCACGGCTGCTGTTTAATATGATGATGATGTGTACATGTAGGCGGTTTCATGCAAACATAAGCTACGTCTAAAAATGCGCCGTGTGTGTTTAGTAGCAAAGATACCAAGATTACACTGCCCTGAAATAATGCAATCTCATGCATGAAACGACAGAAAATAGAGCATATTAATATACGCATTTATCTCCTCCCTATGAGACGAAAGTCGAGTCTGGTGGGCTGGTAGTTGGCAAACTTCCAGAGAAGGAGACGTAGGCGGAGTAATGTTGCGTAATTTCACCAGATGTGGTAACTTCCAGTAAATATCTGCTGTGACACATGATACCCTATCTGCAGATGGCAGTGCCATGGCAGACATCTTCCCAACGGCATCCATTGTACAACAATCCACAGGCCCACACATTATGATTTTACCTCTGTGACCTCAAGCAGATTCATTCTTCTTATATAAGTAGGATGACATTTAGGATATGAAAATATGGAAAAAGATTCCCAATCAGGATTGTTCTACATCTTGTATGCATAGGCTACAGCACATGTATTCCAGATATAACATTTTTCAGTTTTTATGTTTAAAAAAAAAAAAACTCAAATAATATACAGTATAATAATGACATAACATGACACGTGTTAATAGGCGGATTTTGCGGGGCCCTGGTGGCTGAAATATGTTACAGCATTACTAAGTCTAAAACTGTTCCAATACAAATATTTCGTATATCAATATTTTAATAGATGTAATAAAATGATTGTTACAATACAAATCTGAATAATATCATATTTTGTTTGAAATCATTTCATTTTAGAGCAGTCGCATGTTGTGACGTGTGTGTGTGTGTGTGTGTGTGTGTGTGTGTGTGTGTGTGTGTGTGTGTGTGTGTGCGTGTGTGTGTGTGTGTGGTTAAGGACAAAAGTTCCCTCGCTTTTTTTTGTATCCAAGTGATTCAACTATTGTATTACAAGAATTAACAGTAATGAATATTCGGCCTTAGTTCATGAGAACTCTTTAGTTCTCATGAACTAAGTACAGATCGCGTTCACACCGGAATAAGTTCCTGGGGAAGGATTAGGCAAATGAAGCCGCTGACGTCACTTCTTCTTCTTCTGCTTTGGGTTTACTGGCAGGCCGCAAACAACTTCACGGCGTATACTGCCACCCGAAGTCCCCGGCCGGAAGTCCCCCGAGTAAATCGCCAGAACGCCGACACCTCCTCATCTCCACCGCTCCCATGTTTTCTTTTGTGTTGCCATAAGTTAGTCTCTCTGCGTTTGTGCGCTGGGCTAATGCTAATAATGCTAATTCGAGGATAATAAAATGGCGGCTTCACAAAACGTTTTGGGAGTTTTACGGGCCGTGGTTTGCATTCCACCCAGCCAATGAGACATAGGAACTTTTTTCTCCCACGAAAGTAGGCTACCTGCTCTCTAGCAGGAAAAGGGAGTAAAAAAAGGTTCTGATTAACTAATTTTAGTTCCGGCTCTTTTTGGTGTGAACGCGACATTTCGGAACTATATCGGAACTAAAGTGGGAAAGTATACTGCTGTGTGAACGCAGCTATTGCAGTCTTCTTTGATATTGAAAAAGCTTAGGACATGCTCTGGAAGGAAGGACTACTAATCAAGTTAAAATCATTGGGAATTGGTGGTAAATCATATAATTGGGTTATGATTTTGTTACTGGAAAGGAAAATACAAGTAAGAGTAGGTGCAGAATATTCAAGTGTTTCTGATGTGGAAAATGGTACTCCGCAAGGTAGTGTATGTAGTCCGTTGCTGTTCAATATAATGATACATGACATTTTTAATCAAGTTCATCCAAGTGTGGGAAAATCTTTGTATGCAGATGATGGGGCTTTGTGGGCAAAAGGCCGCAATGTAGCACATGTTGGAAAGAAAATACAAGCTGCAATAGTTGAAGTGGAAAAATTGACAAATAAATGGGGATTCAAACTGTCAGTAGCTAAGACGCAGGTCTTTTGTTTTACAAAACGGCATAAAATTGCTCCTATATCGTAAAAATCTCTTGAACAGGTAAATACAATAAGATTTCTTGGTGTTTGGTTTGACGGAAAGCTAACATGGAGCAATCATATAGGAAAAGTTCAAAATAAATGTAAAAAGGTCAACAATGTACTTCGGTGTTTGGCGTGACAGGAGTGGGGAGCGAGTAGGTCATCACTACAGAACTTATATTGGGCACTCATGAGACCTGTATTAGATTATGGGTGTACTGTATAGCGTTCATGTCAGCAGTAGAATCAAACCTTAAAAAGCTGGATGTCCTACAAGCTCAGGCCCTGAGAATTTGTAGTGGAGCTTTTAAAACATCTCCAGTATCAGCAATGCAGGTGGAAATGGGAGAAATGCCTTTAAGGATAAGAAGAGTGACGTTAATGTTGGCATACTTGGTAAACCTTCAGGGGCATTGTGATCTTTGTACAGGGGAAAAATACTGAAATAATCACATCCTGTCTCTCAAATGCATTGGACAAGGTTCAACACTGGCTGAACAACATTTGCTTACAGTTAAATGCAAAAAAACAGTATGCATGATGTTCAGTAAACGACCAGATCAAAGGATCCAATGTGTTTTTAAACGGAGCAGAATTAGAACTAGTCCCCCACTTCAAGTATCTTGGAGTCATACTGGACTCGAACTTGACTTTTAAGAAACATATTAGGAAAGTATCCAATACCGTTAAATTCAACTTGCACACTTTTAAACAAAGTCATACCTCCACTGTATGATTCTATCCCACATTGAATACTGTTTTACAAACTGGTCGTTTGCTTGTGCCAAAAACCTGAAACCCATAGAACAGACGAAAGCCAAATTCATACCACCAGTACCATCCTTGAAAAACACAATTTATTGAGTTTTGACAATTTTAAGTCTTTTAAAAGTATGTGTTTTTTTAAATAAATGTTTACATGGACTGCCCCCCCCCCCCCCCCCTTAGGGGAATTCAGCCACAAAAAACACACTGGACGCTGCACTAGGTCAGAAACCAGAGGAGACTGAAGTCCACCGCAGACTAACCACTTTTGGACAAAATGTCCTCTCCGTTAAAGGCAGCGCATTCTGGAATAGCCTCCCAACTGAGATACAGGATTGTCCCACTCTCAATAGCTTTAAAGGTCAACTAAAAGAATGGTTGAGAAACAAATAGATGTGCAATCACCGCTAAATGCACTTTAATACAGGGGTATCTCCTCTTGCACTTTAGGTAAATCTTTTATCTTTTCTTGCACTTTATATGTCGTTGCTGCTATATTGTTGTGCCATGTGGTAAATACTTGTGTATGCTGCTCTTGCTCTTTTGCACTTTTTGCATATCATGTATTTTGTTTTTGCTATGTTTGTAAAATGTAATTTTCTTAAATGTTTTATGTGAGGGACTGCGGATGGAAATGAGCTCAAAGCTAAATCTGGCACTGTTACGCTTGACACATTTGAATGTTTGTTAAAACAGGGTACAAAAATACTGGACTCAAATGCGACGACTCATATTTCAATGAGAAAAACTAAAACAAAGTTTTAACAAAAAAATCACTCTTGCGAGGACAAAACAAAACTTCTTGATTTCAAACAAACAAAACTCTCCTCTCTGGTTTAACGCTGGGTCTCTGGACATAGAAGCGCACTGAAACAAGACGAACTGGCACAAGACAAAGGGAGACAAGGACTATTTAAACATGAGGGAATAGGGAACAGGTGGAAACAATCAGGGGCGGAAAAACACCCAAAGTGAGGAAGTAACAGGACCTGAAAGGAAAGACAAGAGGTAAGTACAAAATAAAACAGGAAATGGGAAAACGAGACATGACATGAAACATGGGGACTTGACTAAAGATGACCGACATAAAATAGACAGACAAGATGTGAAGTAACAAGAAAACCTGACTCTACATAGAAACCTGACTAGACTTGGAATTACATACCTGACTAAACATGAAATGACAGACATAAAACAAACACGACTAACACAATTGACGAGACACCACAGTACTCCCCCCTCTAGGGACTGCTCCGGAAGTCCCAGACACTCCTGGATGATCCTGATAAAAGTCAGTGATCAAACTCCGATCTACAATGAAGCTTGCAGGGACCCATTGTCTTTCTTCGGGACCGTAACCAACCCAGTCCACGAGGAATTGTTTCCCTCGACCACGGTTACGGACTCCAAGCAGTTTCTTAACAGTGTAGACAGGACCACCATCAACCATCCGGGGAGGCGGTGGGGGCATAGAGGCGGGCACCAGAGGACTCTCTCTTACAGGCTTGACCTTCCCCACATGAAACGTCGGATGGACCTTGAGCGACCTGGTAGACGTAAGCGCACAGACACTGGGTTAATCCCCGTAGACACCTGGAAAGGCCCCACGACCTTGGGGCTAGCTTTCTGGACATGACATGAAGGGGTAAGTCTTTGGTAGTCAGCCAAACGCTTTGTCCAGGCCTATAGGATGGAGCAGGTCTGCGATGCCGATCCACCACCTTCTTCATCTGGTTGGCACTGCGCAGGAGAACACGACGAGCACCTGCCCAGATCCGGCGGCACCGACGGACCATGGCGTGTGCCGACGGGACCGCGACCTCACCTTCATTGGCAGGGAACAAGGGTGGCTGGTAACCATAAACACACTGGAAAGGAGTAAGTCTAGTAGCTGCGGTGGGCAGTGTGTTGTGAGCATACTCGACCCACATCAGGTGCTTGCTCCATGATGCCTGGTTCTGGGAAACGAGACACCGCAAACAGGTCTCCAGCTCGTGGTTGATGCGCTCTGATTGGCCATTGGACTGCGGGTGGTAACCCGAAGACAGGCTGACGGTGGCACCCAAGAGATGGCAGAACTCCTTCCAAAAACCTGAGATAAACTGGGGGCCTCGGTCCGATACGATGTCCCTGGGAAAACCATGAATGCGGAAAACTTCACGTAACATGACCTCTGCCATTTCTTTGGCAGAGGGGAGCTTGGGTAATGCAATGAAATGTGCCATCTTACTGAATCTGTCCACCACCGTCAGGACGGTGGTGTTTCCCTCTGACATGGGTAATCCAGTGACGAAGTCCATGGAGAGGTGTGACCATGGACGGTGTGGAACAGGAAGAGGCTGCAGCAGACCCATCTGAGCTTGTTTGGAGGTCTTGTTTCTGGCACAAATGGTGCAGGCTGCCACATACT